TGATATTTATGTCATTTATCATATATTTGACATATTCTAAATATGTCAAGAGTTGAGTATAAAATGCATTGATCATTGGTTATTATATATGATGTTTATTATGCATATATATATATATATGATGTTATTTCAGGTATGAAATGCCCAATGTGAAAATATATTAATATAATTTGTTATGGATGGATTAAATAAATATAGACTATATGCCCAAGTATGTCATTGAGGGTCAGTGGTATTGATGGCATGCCATAGAGTCCAACAGCTTCAGGCTTCAGCACTATAGCGTGCAAGGACACTTAGTGCAGGTGGTGGGCATAACCTTATGTGTCATATCTGGATCAGCACTAGAGTGTAAACCTAGTGTAGGTGGTGGGAATGACCTTATGTGTCATATATGGATCAGTACTAGAGTGTAAACCTAGTGTAGGTGGTGGGAATGACCTTATGTGTCATATCTGGATCAGCACTAGAGCGTAAGCTTAGTGTAGTTTAGCACTACGGTGCATATATTTGACTCAAATATCAGGGTCTTTATATGTTTATATTTTGGGCTATGGTTTATTTGTTACTAAATGATAAATAGACGAATAAGCTTATGAGCTTATGGAATAAATGACAAGTATATTGGTAAGGAATTTTATATCCGGCTTATATCAGGTTGATATATGGTAACATGGTTGGAATGCAGGTAAAGTGATCATAATGCATTAATATTATTACTCATTTCATTTATGTGTTGTATTGCTCTGAATATTTCTATGATTTTCTCATTAAGTGTATATTTAGCGTGTGATGATTTTCACGCGTAGGGAAAAGAATGTGAGAGGAGTAAGGAGTTGAGTTTCACATCAATCACCAAAGAATATTTTCAGGTAACATTGATGACATCCTATGGTGTTCTAAATTTTCTACCTGGCATATATACGCGTGAGAAATGTCTGCAAATTATAAGTATGGGTAATATTAAATATTAAGTAATTAGATTTTAAATCATATGGTTTTATATAGTTTATTCATGATATGAACAATAATAGAATTGTCTAGTTGATGTCTGAAACCAGATTTTAAATTGAGATTGTAATATTATTATGTGAAAAATTATTTTACAGTAAAAGTTAAGAATTGTTAACTTTTGAAGGAAACAAAATTTTACCACTTTTTAAATATAAATTTCTCCTAATGTTTTATGATATTTCTGACTCTTGTTCAGGGTTAGATACGGAAAAGAGGTGTTAAGTATTTAGAATAGATATTAATTTATAATAGTTTGATAAAAAAAAACTAAATTTAATAAATGATCTTTTATTGCAATAGTCAAAAAGAATGACTACAGGTAATAATACTAGAGAAAGCCAGTGGCACCACCAAGGCCATGGTGCAGCAAATTATGAGCGATGCGATCCCTAGCTTGAGAAGAGGCCATGGATCTCAAGTTGTTCTCAGGGATCACCTCATCGTCAAAAACCTCGAATTTAAGCCCAGGCTCCATTTCCTCATTCCTCAGCTCGCATATATTATGTAGAACGCAGCAAGCTCCAAGAACAACCGGCAATTCTTGAAGCTTAACGTCGATCCTTTCAGTCTTGCAAACGCTTCCTTTCCCACTTTTTCAATCTCCCAAATCTTCTCATTGAATGCGTGTTGAGCCCAAGTGAGGTTCTGGTGAGTGTAGGGAACTAAAACCCAGTCCATTAATGGATACCCTTTACCTCCCACCACCCAAACGTCCTCCAACTGACCCATGGTGGCTCTTTGATGAAACACCGATTGCTCCAGGACTTGATCGTCGGTCATGGATCCTGGCCAGCCGATGCTAGCGTCGGTGAAAACGCCGTTTTGATCGACGACGCCTTGAAGGATGATCGAATACGATGTTTTTTGGTTCCTCTCCGTGTGTTTCTTGTTGAAATATAAGGCGACGCTGGTTTTTGGTGCCATGATTGGGATGTGGGTCGTGTACATTGAACCGCCGACGTTTGGGATCCCGGTGATGGACTTGAATTCGTCTTTGATTTGCTTCATTTTGTTTTCGTCGGGCCATTGGAGGTATTTAGGCATCAGTACTGTTTTATTGGCGGTGCAAACCTCTAGAACCAGCTTATGGCAAGTTGAAATCCCTAACCTGAATCGTTTCGATACCATCCTAAGCGGCTCACCGGTGGCCAACCTCCAGATACAAACTGTGACGCGTTGACGGACCGGGATCGCTTCACGGAGCATCGTGTTCTTCTTCATCACCGCCGGTTCCAAATCCTCGCAAATCAAATCGAACGTGGATTTACTCATCCGAAACACGCGTTTGAACTCCTCGTCGGGAAAATCCTGCTGATTGCACCTCTCCCACCAGTCTTTAGATCGGGATTTCACCCATAACCGCCGTTGATGTCCTGAACCGCCGCTCGATTCCGGCACACCCTCATTGTCTGAACCGACTGAAACCGTCGAAGAGATAGCGGTAACTGAACCGGATTGACGAAGAGCGTTTCTTTTTTCTCGAATTACTCGACTCTTCCATTTCAGAAGAATGATATTTACCAGCGATTTCTTCGGCTTTTTCTTTGCAATCGGCTTGGAAGAAAGGTTCAAACTCAGTCAGCCATTGATGTTGCTCTTGCTTCTCCCTCGTCGAGCAAAAAAAGCGAGGAAAGTAAATCTTTAAACCCATCGTTCTTCAAGTCGTCTCCATTGACTAAAGATTCATCAGTGTCTTTTCTACTCATTTTCTTACTGTTCCCATTGAACCCAATTTCCACATCCGAAAACAAAGAGAAATCCAAGGCTTCGTTGTGAGAGAGGAACGTGAAAGAAGGGGTTTCCATATAAACAAAGACTATGATGAGATATTTGATTGAATGGCTTGATTGACGAAATGTGAAAGCAAAGGTGAGTTGAAAATGGGTGGCAACGGCTTTTTTTGTATACGTATCAACGGCTCCACAAGGAAGCGCGTGGATGTGAACGCGGGAGCGTGGCACATTGATAGTGACTTTACTTTTCTTTTTCACGTGGATTTTCTTCGTTTTTTCTTGACGATTTCATATGGCTTAATTATAAATTAAGTGTCTAAACTATAACACTTTTCATGAATATGTACCTAAATTATTTCTTGAATCGTTTCAGTATCTAACGTTACAAATATTATTAATTTAAGTTTTTGGCCTTCAACGATATTAATTCCTCCGTTAAGTGATATGTGTCATAATATGGTAATTTTAAAACTTTTATTTAAAATTAAAAAAATAATATTATATTTAAAAAACATAAAAATTTTAAAATAACCCCAAAATTTTGAAAACTTTGATTTCAATCGTTAAACCCTTAAAAAACTATCAGTGATGAAGCTCCACTCGACCTTACCTCCCCTAGAGACCAAAACCCCTATGAAATTGTGACTAATCGATCGACGATAAATCAGTGTTTTATATCCCACAAACCCTATGATGAAAATCACAATCTGGCGTGATTTCGACGGCTAAACGATGACAACATATGACTAGGAGGATGGCAGGGAGTACGTCAATGGCTATGGTCATGGTCGAAAAGGGTTGTGGCAGTGAGTTAAGGTTAGGATTTAGGGATTTTAAGGATTTTGAGATTTTTTTTGTAATTTAAGAGAAATTAGGTCTTTATAAAAATAATAATATTTTTAAAAAATAAATTTCAAAATTATCAGATTGTGACATATGTCACTTGACGGAGGAAATTGATGTTGTTGACGGTCTGAGCACATAAAGTGATAACGTTTGTAACGTTAGACGCCGGAATGATTGAAAAAATAATAATTTAGGTACCTATTCGTGAAAAATACTATAGTTTATAGACTTATTTTATATTTAAGCCATTTCATAAGCAACTCGGAGAAACCTTAAATATGGTATGCTTCTTGTTTCTCCCGGCTTTTCTTTTCTTGTTACTTTTCTTTTTAAATATAGTTTACTGTTGAGTATCTAGACTTTTGTGAAACTAAACTAAATTTATATTAAATTTTGACGTTATTTATGTAAATATTATGGTAAAAATTATTTAAATAAAGTGTTCATAAATTATGTTTTAAATTTTATATTAATTTTAAGAAAATGGGTTGATTGTATAATGATTCAAAATCTAATCATGCTTGCAAGGCACATAAGAAGCAAGGACACGGATGAAAGATGACAAAATCATCATACAATCAACAAGCTTTTATGAAATCACCCAAAAATTCGAACAAAATCCTCGAATTAATGTAACAACTGCAATATGTGTTACGTTGTAAACAATGAAAAACTGAGAGTAGGCAGCTTTCAAGACCGAATAGTTTTCATCCGAGCCTAGAAAAGGCAGCTTCAATAAGCTTCTTGGGGTTCAATGGCCTATGCCAATACCAGTGTACTGGCAAGTAGGTCGGAAGAACAACTCCAGCAGTATAAGCTGCCTCCCATATATTCTCCAAATCAACTCTCCTGGTATAGAATTACTAACCTCTTTAATCATCACCGGCGCAAGTCTCTTCGATCTCAACTTCTTATGAACGCACAAGAAATTGATCTCGGCCATCTTAACAACTTCATCACGCACCCTAGTATGAAAGCATTCTTTAATAGAGCGGCATTGAAGATGACAAAACAGTGAAACCCCACTTTGGTCTTGGTGGAATGGAATCGTAAGAGTCCAGTGTGTTTTCTTGTTATCCAAACAAATTTCTTTTAATGCTCTGGTTTTTCCAAAATGAATGTTCGGCTCGTGGTGCGGTTCTGCGTCTAAGAAACGAAGCACACGAATTTAACCCCTCAAAAGAACAAATAAATAAACATCATTTAAGCTTTTCACAACGTTGGAACTGAAAAATAATATTTTTATATGAAAATGTTCATCAAAATTGTTGGACCTTAGTGAAGTCTTTCTTTACGCAAAACTCAAGACAGGCTCCGAAGAAAGCAATCCCCTTTATGTGACTGTAAAAAAGCTTCTATAGTGGAAGAGAACGTATTGACAGCCAAAGATCAGGCAAAATGGAAGCTATTCCCACTATTTATTAAAAAGAAGGTATGAACAAGGCGACATGACATGAATACAGTAAGCAATTTACAATGCCATAAAGTTTCAAAAGTCCCAGATGACTGAGAAAAGCATAATCATAAAAAAATGAAAATGAAAAAAAAAAACAGTGAGTTAAAACTGTTAAAAGAAAAATGTTCCACTCATTCTACCCTTCATCACAGGCTTTGGGCCGCCAGATCCAAATTCAGGAGATCCAAGTCACAGAATTCCTTGAAAACTCAAACGCCTACCAGCGATACACGCTCCATTTTCCGAGTTTAATAATGAATTCTCTCATCACTTTCGGATTGCAAGCCCTCCACACCCTTGAGGGCAGCTTCATAGTTCTTGGCATGAGAGGTATTTCTCCCATACGATGACCGCTTGGGGTCTACGTGGCTAGCATGAGCTGCACGAGAACGTTGGGGGTCAGCTTCGCTACCAGCAAAAGCTTCGCAACTGTCAGAAGCTGCAACGTGCCTTGAAGAGGATCCACCTTGCTGCCCCATAAACTTGAGGCAAGTAAAATTCAAATCAGCAGTAAAAGATAAGAATCAAATGCGATATACATTGGAACTATCAAACGTAAACAGGACTACTTCATAGGAGTACGTTTGTGTATGTGCGCATACATCCTCAATGAAAAGGAAGTAAGGCGATAACCGGAATTCTAGACTGTACTCAATACATGTGCATAATCATAAAATAAAAATACCATAGTGTCTTTAGTAACTGCAGAATCATTTCCAACCGGATTTTTCTGCTTTGAGTGACTTCCAGAATTCAAGGGTCCTGATGTTTTCCGCCTAAAGGAATTCATAGATGACAAACCAGTTGCCCACATGTTCTCCCCAGTTGCAAGCATTCATTTCGTTATTAAATATCTAAAAAAAAAAACTCTTTTAAGAAAAGGAAAGGGGTGTGCTTAAATGTCTGTGTGGGTGTTAGAAACAAACACTTGAGTTTAAAAAACAAATTCAAAATTTCAATAGTAATGCTGATAAAAAAGACTAAATTGTATGAAAGGAACACCAGTTACCTATTTGCCTGTCACAATTGGCAATGGCAGGGGGCAAGGGAGAACTTGGTCCAGCACTGGGGCCCTACCAGAAACAAGCATTATAAAAGATACATTCATACTATTAATGAAAAATAGGAGCAGAGCACCCTAGTAAGAACATACAATGGCTCGTGCCGGAGGAGTGGTCAGCAGTGATTGCTGATGCTTCAAAATGGTCCAATCAAAGACATAATCAAACTGGAAGCCTGTTTAGAGAAAGATCAAAAAGAATAATGAGAAGATGTGACTCAACTTTGAACTATGGAAATAATACAAGTTGACAGTAAGCATTGTTAAAAATGTGAATGTAGACCTTCACGAATAAAGAGGTCACGAAAGATTCTTTTGAGGTAATAAGTGTAGTCTGGCTTATCATCAAATCTTAATGACCGACAGTAATGGAAGTGTGATGCAAATTCTGTCAGATAACCTCGACACAAGGCCTGAAACAACACATCAGTATTCAGTCATAAATTTTTAAACATGGAATCAGAAGCTCCAAGCCACATGTACCTCTTTCTAATACGTCATTCCCTTTACGAAAACCTACTGCAATTGCAATATTCAAACACATCCTTACCTCAATTGAAGTAGAAACCTTCTTCTCACTAATTTTTTCGTACTTCTGTTTCTTTGTTCCCGCTTTCAGACCTTGCCAAGGAAGACTGTTAAAAGAGAAGAGGCACCAACACTGAAAACTAATGTAGAGATATAAAAAAAGAAAAGAAAGTAACATAGGTAGCAAGAATTCACCTTCCTCTTAGGAAGCACATAAGCACATATCCAAGAGATTCCAAATCATCCCTACGGCTTTGCTCTACATGGTATAGGACAGAGAATCAAAACTGAGAAGCTGAAAAGATTCATAGATCAAGAAAAGGACAACTAAATTTGACCACATACCGATGCCCAAGTGTGTGTTCATGCTTGCATATCTTGCAGTTCCAGTCAGATTCTTATTTTCCCTTAAATGGTCACGATCTATGTTGCACTGACAGAAACGATAATTTCTAAAATTAAAGGATACGATGATTGCAAGTGTACGGCATATAAAAAATTTTAAAAATTATAAATAGATATAAAAAATCATAAATAAAGTTAATATTTCATAGAAAATTAAAAAAATAAAATTCATAAATAAATCATAATATTAAATTATAAAATCTCAATACTCAAACAATAAATTAAGTCTAAAATAATATTAAACAACACAAATCAAACATTGTTAACATATTCCAAATTAGAATAAGTACTCCAATTTTTATTCTTTTTTAATACCTAAACTTTAATTTTTTTAAATCATGCATAACATTTAGTTTAAGTTTCAATTTGGTATCCCACCGTAAAAAAGTTATAGATCTATTGACGTGATATTTTTTATTTTTTTCTCAATGATGATGTAGCATTATTTTATAATGACAAGTCCATATTATCGTTAAGTATATAACGTTAGGAATGATTTTTAAAAAAAAAAGTTTAGATACCAAAATAATACAAAATAATAATTTAAGTACTAATTGGGTAGTTTACCCAAGTCTAATACTTGATTTTTATGTCGTTGCCCATTTTCAGCTTCCCCCAACTGATGGAAGCTCATCAATGCCTCCTCTTTATCTCCATCCTTTAACTTTCGTTTCAACTCAGTAATTCCATGGCGAATCATTTCTTCCTTCACTTATATATACTGATCGCTTTCCACTTCAAATAATACATCCCCTTTTGTTTCTATGGATCATAGAAACGAGTTTTCAGATTCCAACGAAATCAGCAGCACCTGCTATATTGTTGCCACCGAAATGCTTACTTCATCGGAACCGTTGAGTATTGCTGACAGGGGACACATGTGATAGTCACATGCCGTCCCCAAAACGTCCCTGAATGTGTTTAGCCGTACCCCGCCATGTGGCAAATCCTCGGTACGTACCCTAGCAGTCCCCGTGTCAGGGACGTATCGGGTACTGAAACGTGGGAAGGAATGCCGTCTCCATGCTTCATAGGTCACGATTGAGTAAAATATAAAAAATTGGCTTCAGTAATGAACCGGAAACTGTCAACAAATAAATCAGTAAAAGGAATATTAAAAAATAGAAATGTCAATGCAAGGCAAAGAAGTTCGATGCATCATCATTGCAACAAGAAGTAATACAACTAACCCCCTGACAGCTAGGATTACACTATTGGTGTTAGTACCAATCAATGCGAAGTGAAACAAAGGTTTTTAAACTGTATAACACAATATATTACATCATGCTAATTTCTCTCACCTGTAAGGAATGTGATGATGTGAACTGTTTCTATATTTCTTAGCCAGACCAAAGCCAATCATATAGACCTATGTGAGGGCGAAAGAAATGATACATTACATTCTCCTGCAACATATAAAATGAAGAAAGAAAAAGAACATACATAACATAATAATATTTTGAGCAGAATGCAGAACCTGATTTGCACGCCTTCCTAGGCCCATGATAAAATTGTCTGGCTTAATATCTCGATGTAGAAATGATTTTGAGTGAACAAATTCAACACGATTGATCTGAGAGAAAGAAAAATAGAATCAAGCAACAAGACAACAAAGGAAGAGGAACTGAAGCTAGCAATGTATGGAATTCTAAAAGGCTATCATTTGATCAGCAAGCATGAGAATTGACTTCAATGAGAGTTTCCTACTGCAAAAATTAAATAGATCTTCAAGACTAGGTCCAAGCAAATCCATAACCATAACATTATAATCTCCCTCTACTCCAAACCATCTTATATTTAGAATCCCGGCTGCCAAGAAAAAGGATAAGTGATATGAAATACAAAGAACGGCCAAAGGTTGAAACAAGAGCTATATTGTCTAAGAAGAAAAAAGAAACTGTAAGTATCATTACTTCCTCCCTGCAGGATTCTGTATAACTTCGATTCATATAACATTTGAGGATGCTTTGTCTTCACGTTCTCCTGATCATTAAAGAAAAAAGTCATCCACTTCCTTATGTAACATAAAGAATTTAATATGGAATAAAAGAACTACAACAAAAGAGAAAACTATTATTAAATTTAAAATAAGCAAGCTTTGTTTTATAGAATGCCAAAACATTTAACTAATAAAATCAAAACAATGATTCAAGCATAAAATAAAATTATTAATTATGTATTTATGTCAGCCTGATTGAAAGATAACTCTAAAAAGCTTATTAAGTATCACTGATTGATTAAAAGAATTCTAACGATGTGTTGGGAGAGTAATGAGAATAGCATATATACAATGGTAAATAGGTAATCAAAGTTGTAACGTAAGTAACCCCCTTTAACCATATTTATCTCAGGAGATAACCACCCAAAGCATCTTCTTCTTGTCTGCTATGATGCCAGCCAACAATTAGAAAATAAGAAATTTACATTTACGAACGAATTCAATCCTCCTTGGGGTAATATACGAAAATCCTACAAAGTTAAACTGTAACTAACAGTTTTCTTCTCTGTTTTCTCTCTTTTTTGTTAAAGGAGTAGCCCACAAACTATGATCATCGTTAATTTAATGTAAATCAAAAACTATAACAAAAATAACACCAAGTGAAGTGAAAAACCAAAAATGTAATCCAACATGTCAAGGGCTCCAAACATTTGCTTTGCTATATAATACTTTACCAGAATATTATAATTTTATCCATCATGGTACATTTTAACCTCAACTACATACTTCTACAGTTTATTGCTTCAATATAACCTATGACCATAGTGCATTTCTAAGTTATAAACGATCAAGTTAAAGCAAGAAATCTAATGAGCATTCACTCGGATTAAAACCTAGCCAGAATATCAACTACATTGCTGTTTTATAGAATGCTAATATGCAATAAACTGAACAAAAAAAAAAAGAAGTGAATTTGCAAAGGCTACTTACAAGCTTAATGGCAACCTCTTCATTTGTCAGAATATTCGTACCTGCAAATATAAAATACTCCTATATATCAACCTATATTCAAAATCATACCCAAAAACAGGGGTAGGGGATTATGCAACAAACCCAAATAGATCTCTCCAAAAGAGCCGCTACCGATCTTACGACCAAGTCGAAACTTATTACCGACACGAGGCTCCATCAATTCCAAGCCCTAACTAAAACTTGAAACCTTAATTCAGAAAACTTCCCCCAAAAAAAGGAGGAAAATATATGGAGACACTATACAGTAAACACCCAGTCAACCTCTCCTACAATTCAAACACAGAAAATTTTAATCACGTAAAAGAATTTCAAAAATTCAACAAAAGAAGAAGAAGAAGAATATAAAAGATCTAACTTTCCGTCTTTGTTTTAAGGCAAAAACAAATTACTATTATAATTAACAGAAAAACTAGGGTTAGGTAAACGAAATAAACAAAACGGGGGAAGATAGCTAAGAAATCATAATTCTGTTTTCGTGAGTCGATGGAAACAGATAATTAGAATCATTTTCCATCTCCGAAAGGGTGGTTTGATATCTGACATTGAATTTCGCTGGGCTCCGTGGAATGGATTTTAGTCATCGACGCGACAATAGAAATGTCTGATTCACATCACACTCTCCTCGCTAATTTTGGAGTTTTTTTTTACCTTTTACCTTTTTTTCTTTACAGTATCATTGATTGATCTATTGTTTAAATATTTAAAAAAAAATATTTTATTCTAATTTATTTTATCATGAAGTATACAAATAATTCGATTTTATACAGTACTATTTTGTTAAGTTCTTTACTTTATTAGAATTTATAAAATAATAATCTAATTATAAAATGTTACTATTTATATGTTTTAAATTCTTCTTCTTTTGTTATAAAATTGATAGTTGTCTGAGTTAAAAGTCAATCTGGTAATTAAATATGATAAAATCATATTTTAATGATGTTTGTCGCCACCATTGTTACTTTCAAGTACTAACTCGACAGCATAATGTTTCAAGTATTGATTTAAAGATAAAATATAAATAAAGAGTCGGTCCACAAAATGCTAGTCAAATGATTTTGGAATCATTTTTTATTGTATCATAATGAAGTTAATATTCAACTCAGACGATCCTCAATTTTTTAACAAAAAAAGATTAGATGAAAGATATGAATAGTCGGATGACCATTTTAAAACTTTTAATAGTCGATGACTTAACAAAGTATTATTTACAATCAGGAGATCATTTTGTAACTTTTAGTGTTTAGGGAACTCAACAAAGTAGAACTTTTTAGTCGAAAAACTATATATGTTTTTTATCCTTTATTTTATTTTATTTTATTTTTGCTTAATTCAAAATAATTATAAATTGTAATATATATTATAAAGACTCAACCATTTGATAATAAACACTCGAATATCCTATAATCTCAAGTGATTAAACTTAAAATTATTAAGAATAACAATAATTCATTTAACATTGATATATTAGTTTGTGCCCTTTATTCTTAAACTTAAATTTTTAACACTAAATTATCCTCAAAAGTTGTAATAGAAAAAACTAAGACAAAACATGGGCACTTTATCCGCATGGCAGCCCAAAAGGCAAACCAGACTTTAAAGTTATGCCTTTTCAGTTGAATTTGACGGCCCAAACGAACCAGCAAGTCTCCCGGTAGTCGGGCATTTTAACCACACTGAAGAAATGTCAAAAAGAGAGGGAAACAAACTCCACCAAGAAACCCTAAAACTTGGACAGTTCACAGAGCAGAGGGTCTCTCTATATCTCTGCTCTATTTCCCTTATTCTCTTTAGGAACCATCTGAATATAAAAAACCCACTTTTTAATACATAAAATAACATTTAAGCTCAACTAATTTGTTTTTCATTTCATCCTTCCCCCCTCTTTTTACTGATTTTGTAGTTTCAAACAAAGCCGTTCCCTCGCTTGATATGGCGAGATTTCTTGGAAATATTTCTCATCTGAGACGTTCTCTATTAGTTCCACAGGTTGGGATGCGTACCCTTTTGTTTATTCTTGCTTTATTTTTGTCATGTTGAAAGCATATGATCATCTTTCACTGTGGCTGTAAGATAAAGAATGGGACTTTGAATTTAAATCTTTTTGCAGGTATGTAGAGCAGAGGTATTAGGTTCATCTTCACAACTCTTTAACTTTTCTTCTAAAGGTATTGGTTCCATTTCAAGATTTTTATTATAATGCTGATACCCAAAATAATGTTGTTGGAATATGGTAATTATCTGCATGTGATTGTAGAAGAGTGCTTTTTTCATGGCATTTTTTTATCAAACTTTATTAATGTTTGGAAGCTGTGATATATTAGATTGAAAGAACTCAAATAGTGCTTCAAGTTAGGGTCTTTTTAGTAAAGGAAACATGTGCCATCTATATGATGTGTTCTCTTTAGTTATTTTGTTTGAGTTGGCTTAATTTTAGTTTGAAAGTAAATAAGGTAGTTACTTTATTGTCTGTGGATGTATCTTGACGCATGGCTGTTTGAAGCTAGGAAGAAGTCCAAGTCAGATGGAAGTGATTCCGGTGAGGAGAATATGTCCAAGAAAGATTTAGCCCTAAAACAAGCACTGGATCAGATTACTAGTTCTTTTGGAAAAGGATCTATCATGTGGCTTGGTCGTTCTGAGTCTACTAGGAATGTTCCAGTAGTTTCCACTGGCTCTTTTGCTTTGGACGTTGCACTTGGAATCGGTGGCCTTCCGAAGGTACTCTGCAATTCTTGCTTCTTCTTTACCTTCCTGCTACTAGGAAATAGCTACTCACGATGTTTAGTAGTTCCTTAGAAACCTCTTTATTGGGCTATTACAGGGCCGTGTCGTGGAGATATATGGACCAGAGGCTTCAGGGAAAACAACACTTGCACTACATGTAATTGCTGAAGCACAGAAACAAGGAGGTCACTTAATGTCGTTTAACATAGTATTGTCTCGTTTATGATTTGTTATGATGAGCTTATCATTTCATTATGACGTTCATTATTTTGTCGTGGCAGAAGAGAGTATCTTTGCATTTGTAACTTCATCCTGTCATGCTACTATAAAACAAATTTCTTATGTTTCATGTTTAGAACCAATGATAGGAAACTGATAGGCTAAACTTTCATGTTAATCCAATGAGAAGTATATGCTGCATATGACATTCTTAAATCTATTTATAGGGTGATCACATTTGGAGGGTGGAGAAGATTTTGTTGTGCTTATCTTCTATTGTCTGTTTTTTCTGTTATCTTCTTGCTGGAAGCTTATATTTTTTATAATATTGTAAAATGCAGGTTATTGTGTTTTCGTTGATGCTGAGCATGCTCTTGATCCAGCTCTAGCTGAGACAATTGGGGTAAAAACCGAGAATTTGCTTCTTTCGCAACCAGATTGTGGAGAACAGGCTCTCAGTCTTGTAGACACCCTTATACGGAGTGGTTCGGTTGATGTTGTTGTTGTTGACAGTGTAAGGTGTCTTTGGATTCATTTCTTTTCCATGGAGTGTTTCCTAGAAAACACTGCTTGTAGTTGGAAGAATGTGCCTGTGTTGTGTTTGTGAAATCTGCTTTATTCCCTTTGTCTGCTTTTTTCTTTTGACTGTTTAGGTAGATAGTGTATTTTATGATACTGATTTGAAGAAGGATATTTTTGAAATGATTGTTTGTGTACCGAATAAATTGGACATTCATTGGTGAAGGGTTGAAGTTCTGTGGTTTTCTCTATGTGATAATGTGACTTATTTTACTTATTTGGAAGGGAGTCCTGAAAATGGCTTTATTCCCACACTAGGTAGCTGCCCTGGTGCCTAAAGGCGAGCTTGATGGCGAGATGGGTGATGCTCATATGGCAATGCAAGCCAGACTGATGAGCCAGGCTCTTCGTAAATTGAGCCATTCTCTATCATTATCGCAAACCATATTGATTTTTATAAACCAGGTATAAGTTCTATATCCTGATTATAACACTCATGAGTTTTATAGAGCTTTAATTTGTTAATATGCACAATGCTCATCAACATTTAAACTCTTTTAACTTCGGTAAACTTTTTGCCCCAGTTTTAAGGCTTTTAGTAGGCTATTGAATTGATTCATTGTTTCCTTGCTGAACTGTTCCTCCTGATGGAGGTTTGGAGTTCTCTCAAGATTCTTGGTTCAGAATTTGGAACGAGGCATGAATTTTTTTGTTTATTATAGTACATTAACTATTTATAGTAATCAGGTACGGTCAAAACTTTCAACCTTTGGATTTGGTGGGCCAACTGAAGTTACCTGTGGTGGTAATGCCTTGAAGTTCTATGCTTCCGTGCGACTAAATATTCGGAGAACTGGGTTTGTCAAGAAAGGAGAAGAGGTATCAAGTTATATCCTTCCTTTCCTCTTAAGTTCGATAGTTGGATTCCGATGTAGTGATTTAAGAAAGTCTCTGATCATATAATTCACGTAAACTCTGATAATTTTGAAGGACTTAATTCTTTAATCAATTACGTTCACAAGAGACTTGTGTCGAGGATGGGAAATTAAAAAAAATATCCGAATCTACATAATTCTCTTCTTTACTGTTGAATGAATTTTACCATATTTTCCATGTATCATTGTGTTTGTTGATATTTCTGTGATATTTAGATTGTCGGAAGTCAAGTTGCTGTGAAGATTGTGAAGAACAAGCTTGCCCCTCCATTTAAGAATGCTGAATTCGAGCTCGAGTTTGGGAAGGGAATATCTCGGGAAGGGGAGATCATAGATCTGGCGACGAAACAAAAATTTGTTACGAAGGCCGTCGCATTCTACACTTATAATGACCGGAAATTCCATGGCAAAGAAGCTTTCAAAAAGTTTTTGGCTGAAAACGAAAGTGAGCGAGAAGAACTTGCGGCGAAACTTAGAGAAAAGCTACTTGAAGCCGAGAGCAAAAAGGAAAGACATGCTGATATTTCTGATGGGGATACATCAGAAGAAATAATTTCAAAGGATACTCTTGATGAAGAAGCCGTTACAGCCATAGAAGCTTAAGTAGTACCCATATGAATGGAAACTAAATGAAACGTCCCCTTGCTCATTGGACCGGCCGTTAGTTGATTGGACTTTCCGGTGGTCATGATGATGGAAGGATTTGATGGTTTTACGATTCACAGCTCAATAGTCGACCCATTATAAGCCATACTTGTATTTATACATGTATGGTATGGTATGGTATGGTATTTTGGGTTTCAAAGTTTCTTGGATGCAATGGATTGAAAAAATACATAACCTTCATCGAAATCTCTTATAGGTGTCATGTATCTACACAACATTCGACATGTTAACGAGTCAAAATATATGCTCTCTCTCTCTATATATATATATATATGTATGTATATATATATATTTGAGGTAAGAATTTTGTTTTTCGTAATTTAATTAAGAAAATTTATCTTTGATCAAGTATGAACACATTGAAAATTCAATAATCAACATATGGACTAATTTAATTAAGCTTTGGGTGGTTTTTGCATGTGAACACATTGAATATATATATATTTTTTAAACATATGAACACATTGAAACTTAAATAATCAACATATGAACTAATTTAATTAAGTTTTGGATCGTTTTTGCGTATGAACAAATTGAAAAAATAAATAATCAACATATTATTTCTTTAAGGTATACTAAATTATTCTTCAATAATAATAATAATAATAAATATATGGAAAATATGTAACTTAATTCTTTAAGCATTTGATTATTTGATACCATCCTTCTTTAAGCATAAAATTCTTCCATTCTTGTGAGGATTGGATAAGATCTGCACAAGCCAAATATTATACAGATACACTAGATTATGTTATACCTAATTTGAGTTTCTAGTCAATACTATATTAATTTAAATATTAATATATAAACTATATCGACATATATTTAAATAATTATAAGGTTTATTATATGCTAGAGTGATTAAATTTAATTACAATTATTCAAATTGTATTGTGTTTGAAGTGTAGTTACACTTATATTATATAATGCCGACCCTCCTATTCATTCCAAATTTAGGTAGATGACAATCTTCAATTAAGATCCGATTAGTTAATATATAAATGTAAACGTCCAATAACATCAATATGATTAGAGATTGTAAGTGGTTTACTTTCTAATAAGAATTTGATATGCAAAAGTTAAGGAATATTATTCATACTAAAAGGGACATTAGATCAACATAAATCCAACCCAACTAATTATTAATAAAGGGTGGTTGGTTATTTTAAGAATAAATAGGCCTCTAATAATAGGATTCTCTTATTAATTTACATGGGTGCATGGGACTTGCATGTTTTTTATGCTGTTTTTTCAGGGTATAGGATACAATATGTCACTGTATCATCATGTCCAATTGATTTATTTAGCCAACAAACTTTTAAATACTATAAAAAATCATTAAATTGATTTAATTATTACGAAATGATCTCTATATATTATAACATATTAATAAATTTTATAATAATTCGATAATTATTAATGATCATTTTATAACCGTTTGAGAAATTTATTGATCATTTTATAATATTTAATAGTTTATTGACTAAAAAATAACTTTAACATAATTCATTGACCTCTAATATATTTTACCTTTTTAACAATAGAAATTATTGTATTACAAAATGCATATGAAGGAGTTTGAGGTTTGTGAAAGGAAAAGAAAACAAAGTCTCTTTCATGTTGTTATTGGATTCTGAATTTAGTTTAGACCTTATGTGATTATTGAATATGGAAAGATATTTAAAAATAAAATAAAATTATATACTTAAACTCTCATTTTTCTCTCTAAAAAGGCCTTGAAAGAGCTACAAATTCTAGTATTAATTACAACAACAACAAAACCCAATTCCCATATGCAATGGGGTAAGGGGGAGGTAGGGTAGTAGGCTGCCCCCAACGCCAAGTTGAGAGTAGCTTCCGTGGAAGACCTCCGGCAGTCAGAAAATTAAAAATATAGATAAAATGCAATGCATGTATAAATAAATACATAAATACATAGTTGGACAGTATTCATATGCAGACATTAATATCATTAATATCATATGCGCGTTTGTACTTGGGCAGTAATCCCTGCAAATAAATCCATACGAAAAAAATCTCTGCATATAGACAGAAACGTAAGACCCGACTAAATTTAAAAGTGAAGAGAATGTTACACAGAAGTCAACGAAAGCAAGCCCAGTTCTAAGCCTTCATAAATACCAATAACAGAAACGTATAAAAAGTAGAAGTTACCCACACTACTCGACTACCCTAGTTTTAAGTCTCCATATTTTCCTATCAGAGGTCATGTCCTCGGTAAGGGCTAAATCCATCAAATCAGATCTCAAGCAGTCTTCCCACTTCCGCCTTGGTCGTCTTCGCCTTCTGGCACCGTCGACTGTAATCGACTCTACCCTCCTGACCGCATCCGACGGTAGTCGCCTAAAGACATGCCCAAACCACCGTAGTCTTCCCTCCCTCAATTTTTCGGAAACAGGCACCACCCCCAAGGACATCCTAATAGCAGAGTTTGTTGTCATATCCCACAGAGTCCTACCGCATGTCCATCGAAGCATTCTCATTTCTGCGGCCTCTATCCTCCTTACATGATCCTTCTTGGTTGCCCAACATTCTGATCCATACAGCAGTGTTAGTCTTATTACCATTCTATAAAATTTTCCCTTAAGTTTTAGAGGCACCTTCTTGTCACACAAAACTCCAGTAGCGGCCCTCCACTTTAGCCATCCCGCCTTTATACGGTGTGTAACGTCATCGTCTACACCCCCATCTTTATGTATCATAGACCCTAGGTACTTGAAACAATCCTTTGAGGAGAGAATGTGTCCTTCTATGCATACTTCTACATCTTCATCGTTTTGGTCCCCACTGAAGTTTGAACATAAATACTCTGTCTTTTCAATATTGATCCTTAGACCTTTTTCTTCCAAAGCAGTCTTCCAGGTAGCCAGTCTACTATTCAACTCATATTTTGTTTCAGCAACTAGGACAATGTCGTCAGTGAAAAGCATACACCATGGTACACCGTCAGGTGTCGCACATAGATGTCGTCCATAATCAAGGCGAAGATGTAAGGGCTAAGAGCTGACCCCTGGTAGAGTCTGATTTCCACTGGGAATGCCTCGGTGTCGCTAACTGTAGTCCTGACGTGTGTAGTAGATCTACAATACATATCACGAATCGCCCGGATATAAGCAGTTGGGATCCGTCTCGTTTCCAAAGTCTTCCAGATCGTATCTCGGGGAACGCTATCATAAGCCTTCTCAAGGTCAATGAATGCCATGTGAAGATCTCTAGACTTTTCCCTATATTTCTCCATATGTCGTCGAAGTAGATGAATCGCCTCCGTGGTAGACCTGCCTGGCATAAAGCCAAATTGGTTTTCCGAAACCCTAGTAATTTATCTCAACCTAACCTCTATCACCCTTTCCCATAGCTTCATGGTATGACTGAGTAGTTTAATACCTCTGTAGTTACCACAACGTTGGGGATCTCCTTTATTCTTATAGATTGGTATCAACGTGGACTCTCTCTACTCCTCTGGCATCTTGGCAGTCTCTAAAATAATATTAAAGATGTTGGTCAACCACTTAACTCCCTCTTCTCCTAGGGCCAACAATACAGTGATAGGAATTTGATCAGGACCGACAACTTTGTCCCTTCCCATCTTTCTAAGAGCCATTTTGACTTCCTCAAACCCAATCCTACTTGTAGGGCAGTCATTGGCCGTAGTATGATGGTCGGCTGACCCATCAACGGTACTATCTTTACAGGGAGAGGCACCGTCATTAAATAAGCCAAAGAAGTAACTACCCCAAACCATCTTAATATCATGATCTTTCGCTAAAAGAACACCATTGTTGTCCTTAACAAACCTAATGCTACCTAGATCCTTTTTCTTATTCTCCCTAGATTTTGCAAGCCTAAATATTCGTTTTGTCCATCCTTGGTGTCTAATCTCTTGTACATTTCCTCGTATGCCTTATCCTTTGCTTTAGCCACCGTTTTCTTGGCTTCCCGCTTTGCCTCCTTGTATCTTTGTTTAGCTCTCGACCTTTCTTCGTCGTCATTGCATTGTAGAAACTCCTTGAAGCAAGTTTGCTTTGTCTTCACCTTAGTTTGGACTTCGTCGTTCCACCACCACGATTCTTTATGTTCCTTGGCCTTCCCTGTCGACAACCCCAGGGTGTTTTTGCCCATCTCTCTGATGGAATTTGCCATATTTTTTCCATAACAAATCTGTATTATTTGAGTTTGTAGTTCCAAAACCTGTATTAGACAAAACCTTACTCCTAAAGTCATCAGTTGTCGCTCCATGTAACTTCTTCCAAATGATCCTAGGTTTACCCAGTTTAGCCCTCCTATGAGTGCTCTGCCCGTGCGGTATTCGAAACACCAAAACCAATAATTTATGTTGCGATGCGCATGCCTCTTCAGGGGACACCTTACAGTCAATGCAAGCCCATCGATCCCGATTTCGAACCAGGATGTAGTCGATTTGGGTACAATGTCCCCCGCTATGAAACGTAATCAAGTTCGCATCTCTCTTATTAAATAAGGAGTTAGTGACCACCAAATCGTGTGCAGTAGCAAATTCAAGCAACGTACGTCCCTCATCGTTCCTGTTACCATAACTGAAACCCCCATGAACACCGTCAAACCCGTCGGTTGCACTACCTATATGGCCATTGAAGTCTCCCCCTATGAAAACTCTTTGGTCCTCCAGAATGCTCTTAAGTACATCATCTAACTGATCCCAGAAGCAACGTTTCTCCCCCTCCCCCTAGGCCAACGTGTGGAGCGTACACTGAAAGGACATTCACTACTTCCTCTTCTATAATAACCTTAATCACCATGATCCTATCCCGGTATCTACAAACTTCAACTACATTTTCCTTGAGCCTAGAGGATACCAAGATACCCACCCCATTTCTAGCTTTATCTACGCCTGAATACCACAACTTGTACCCATTACACTCTCTGGCGCGAGCCCCTTTCCACCTAGTCTCCTGAAAACATGCAAAATCTATTTTCCTATTATTAAGTACGTCGGTCAGCTCTAGCAGCCTAGCATTTAATGTGCCTACATTCAACGAGCAAACTCTAAGTCTAGTCTCCTTGTCACCACTATATCGAGCCCTCCCCCTATACGCCCCATGGGCTCTAAAAGACGGGCATGACCTCAAGTAATCATCTATAGTCGAAGCTATGAGAAACTATGAAAAATAAAACCAAAGAAGACAGAAGATGCACCAGAAAAACGCTAGAGAATTGAGGGGTACTAAAAAGTCTAGTTGGTTACTAAGTACGATTTTAATTTATTGCTAGTAAGTTTATTAACAATTATAAGATAAATTGTGTAATTAGGTTAATAATAATAATAAGTAAGTTTATTAACAATTATAAGGTTCAAACAAAGATCGACTGGAATAAAATATACGGGGGAAACAATATTAAAAGTACCTGATTCGTGGGTGATTTGAGCTTAAAAGAGAGAGCAAGCGAGAGAGAGAGAGAGGTCTAAGAGTTTACTTTTCAAGTCTGGGTAATATCTTAAAAATCTAGAGACAGTTCTCAAGAGTAATGAACGAATCAAAAACAACTGGATCACCTAATTAACACATAAATATCACTGATCCATTCAAAATAGACCAAAATAAAAAGTCTTAAATCTCTACAAAACAAATTTAAACTACGAAGGCAAGCCGATCTAAAAGATTCACATACAACGGACAGATTTAGTAAGAGAAAGCGAGGAAAGAATATACTCAAACAAAAATAAAATAAAAGTAAAGAATAAACCCCCAAAAAGAGAGATCTTTTAGCTGGAAGCTGAAGAACACAAGTAGATCAACCACTTGTTTAGCAGTGACTGGAATATGGGTGTTAAAGGGGTCGATGGTTCTCGGTCGAGCACAGGGGAGATGGGGAGAGATCAGAAAAACTGTAAAATTGCACAATAATCCAGCAAACAAGTCGAGATTATAAACAAAGAAAACGCAAACGGAAGAACCTGTTGAAGCTGGTTGTGGATCCAAGAAAAGCTATTGCTTTCTGCAAATATATCAACTTTCCTAGAAAAAGTGTTTGGAGATAAAAGGAAGGGAAAAAAAAGAAGCAAACTTTAGACAGCGAAACAAAGCATGAACTAGAGAGGGAGGGAAAAAGTTAGAGAGGGGCAAAATTGATTAATAATTCTAGTATTAATTAGTTTTCTCCAAATTAAAATCCTTAAAAATACAAATATATTAATTATTATTAAAAATTCTTTGTCCCGGTGACAATAACATTCTTGGATCAAACTGATGTTTCCTTAGTTGAAAGATCTTCCATTTTGAGCCGAAATGATGAACCCATTCATCCTTGGTACTGTAATGAGGAAGATATTGCTTAACCACAATACCAGCTCTATTACAAAACTTCATTATTTCCATATTTTGATCTTCAAAAGCTTCCCAATCATTGAATCCACTTGAATGCAAAAAACCCACCGCGTAGAAAATTTCTTCACCTGGTGTAACAGCTGACATCCTATCATCCCATCTGCCATTAATCAACAGTATTCAAAATGTTACATTATATATATATATATATATATGATTAACGATAACCGAAGGCAAAATGTCGGTTCAAATTTGAGGTAGAACATACATAAAACATATAAACAGAAAAAGAAAACAGCACTTGCTTGTGTCTGTTCATGGGATAAACAAGGACAGGTCCTGTAGTAATGTTTCGTTCAAGGACAATGCCTCTGAAAACGCCGTTGTTGAAATCTGATATCTGGGATTTGGGTATAAAAAGATTCAACCATGGATGTGGAACTTCCCATAATCCTTGTGACTCAAGCTTCAGTTCCCCAGCTCGAACTCGATTCAAGAATTCTCCATAGCGAACATCTTTCTGAAACATGAATCCAGGCATGTAACTCAGGCCTTGCAAAATCTGTTTCATCACCTGCAATAGGGGGGGGAACACATACTGGCAGATCAACATCATGTAACATGCCCTCAAATTTTATCATTAATTTGGTTTTTTTTACCTTGTCGACTGTGTTTTTCGTTTGATCATCGTAATGCTTGACAACCTCGAGACAATACATGATTCGGTGCTTGGTTATCAATGAAATTATTTTGGGGTGATCCGAGTGTGGGAAAAACGAAGATCGCCAGTTATTCGGAGAGCCTTGATCCATAAGCAGTGAACCTTCTAAATAATCTAATGTGTTTTGATCTTTTCGTCCATTTCTCGAGATTAAAAGGACTTGATCTCTGGTAAATGAGGAGAAATCACTGTATAGCACTCGTACCCACTTAACCTGTGATGTGAGAACAAGAATGAAGAGATTAAATAATGAATTAGGAGTGATCAGGGGTCGGGTTAAGATGATAATCGTATCGTAAACAACATATACCCGTAAGGATGCCGGTTGGAGTGGAATTCGCGCTCTTGTTATGATTCCAAACTGGCCTAAACCACCGAGAACAGCATAAAAGAGCTCTGAATTCATCTTTGGCGAGCAAGTCATAAAATCAGCTTTTCCTGAATTTAAGATATACTATATATATAAACGAGCTCGTAAGTCTAACTGCATGCATGCAACATACAGCTTTTCATGAAATATTTGTGTACAATATGTTACTATTAATATTATAAACAGACTGGAAAACATTGAATATCTGGATGGATAATTATGATCATCGCCGTTTGAACTTTTGTCCAATGGCTTCCTAACTGTGTGGACCCTAGCTAGAAAACTGTTAACAGGTTGGCATGGAATAAATGGACCGCCATTTGAAAATTAAACGCATAAGTAATCAACCACTAGACACCAGCTAGCTAATTTGTCTGTTCAGGGTTTTCTTCAACAGAGAGAACCATGCAATGTTGTTGATAAAAATAAAAAATAAAAAATTAAATAAGATTTGGGTTTCGAAGAATAATATATACCTGTTATAACATCCATTTCAAGAACATTACTGATCTGAGGACCATAACGAAAGGTTTGTCCACTAATCCCAGCATTGGAGAGAGTTCCACCGACGGTTAAGTACAAATAATCGGTCCAAGAAACGGGGGCAAGTCCATGTTCCAATGTTTTATTCAGCACTTCGATCCAAAGCTGTTCGCCGCCGACATCAGCGTAAAGCCCGTCGGTCGAGACTCGGATTCCGGTTCCGTTCCGACATTTGTTCATCGATTTCATGTCGATCACGACTCCGTTATTCGCCATTGCCTGACCCCTGAGGGAATGACCGTGCCCTTTAGCTGCTATGCCGAAAGGAACTGAATTATAGTAGCTGAGTTTTATGAGCGCAGCAATTTCTTTTGGCGTTGAAGGCTGAAGAACCGCTAGGGGAATTGCTTTCGCAATGTGCCCGAAATCTCGAGAGGCTGCTTCAACAGCGGAAGGATCGACGGAGAGTTTGTCCGCGATGTCGAGGGCTTTGATGTCCTTGTGATGGACATCAAACGGCTTTGATGATATCTTGATGATGGACATCAAACGGGTTATAACGAATATAGCTGTGAAATATGCTGGAATTTGGAAACTCGTTACTATTTTTGTTTTCCGTTTTAGCGAACCAAAGATTGTGAAATTTAACGAAGAATAAGTGTAAGCAAAAGGGTTGAAGAAAGAAGGAGAGTAAGCTAGTTCTTAGCTCCTTTTCTGGTTTGAGTTGTTTATATAAACAGACAGACATACATATACATATGCATGTAGACACCATTTTTTGTCCGGATTTATTATTATTATTATTATTATTATTATTATTATTATTATTATTACTTTATTAACAATTTAATTACATTTTGCAGGCCCAATATATTATAAACCCAGAGCCCACAAGGACAAAAACCTAAACCAGATTACAAGCAAGCCCAAATTTAGATCCAGACCCGACCCAGGATCCGACCCGAAGCCCAACCGAAACCCAAGAGTCCAAACCCGAATAGTGTTCCATTTTTGCTGCCTGGTGCTGCCACCTTTCCAGTCGTTGATGGAGATCTAACAGTCCTCAGCTATCCATATTAGGGTTTAACCCTAAATATCATCTAGTCACCCCCGACAAGGGAATCTGGACCGTCCATCACCGGCGTGTGTGATACACGCGCCCAACCTTTCAACTTCCCAGCTGTGTGAGTCGCCACCAATGTATTCCCGAGCCGCCGTTTCAGCCATCCATCAAACAGTGACCGAATATGAACCAAATCAATCAAATATTAAAGCAAATCCTAATGTGTCAATCAATGGAGATAGGACAATGATATCCTATCTCCTCTGCAACAGATATCATCAATCACACATGCAAAGGATAAAAAGCAGAGAGAAGCAACAGATAAAGGGGATTTGAATAAGATAGAAACCAAAGAGAAAAAAAATCATTAAAAAGGGAGTAGAAGTAAAAAAAAAGAACCCAATTTTAAGAAAAGGAAAAAACGAGAGAAAAAAGGAAAAAGATTTCAAAAAAATAACAAAAAAAAGAAAAGGAAGATTTTGAGAAAAAAACAGAGAGGAAACAGAGGAAAAATAAATAAATAAGAAAGAAAAAGAGAGAATCCCCTTACCTTTGATCGGAAGAACATAGGGAAGCTCGAAGGTTGCCGATTCCTTTTCGTTTTGAAAGGTAAACCTTATATCTAGGGTGTTAGGGTTACTTTTAGGCTGAAAGGGTTTGGGATTCAGGTCGAGGAGGTTGAGACGAGGGTTTTGGGGAAGTTTTGTTCTCTCCGGCCACCGTGAACTGTCGTGAGCCGCCGTGAAATGTCATCAGCGAACGACGACTCCTCTCTCCTGACGAGGGGAAGTTGAGAGAGTCCTAAGAGATTCTCTCTCTCTGTTTTCTGAAGCTAGGGAAGAAATGGGGAGAATGAGGGCGATTAAGCGTGGGTTTGGGCTTAAATACCAAAGGCAAAACGACGTAGTTTCTTCGTCCCCCATTCCCGTGTTCTCGTATTAGGGGAAAATCGTAGGTTTGGTCCCCGTGTTTTGTAATTTCACCATTTGGGCCCATGAATAAAGTTTTAATTTTTTTTCTTTGAGCATTTATATTTCAAAATTTATGTTTAAGTCATCTCCTTTTATATTATGTTATTATTGTTAATGTTTGATTTTGGTCATGATATTTGCAAATCTTTTAATTTAGTCATTGCTTTGCATATGGTTTAATTATTAATTTTCCTTTTCATGTTTCTGGTTGAGTTTATTTTAGTCCTTAATGTTATTTAGGGGTTATTTTCATTTCTGGTACCTATGCTTGTTTAAAATGTTCTATTATGGCACTGGTTTGTTCATAATTAATGTTGTTGGATCCTTCAAGTTTCTGTTAGTGTCAATTTGGTCCCTTAAATCACCGAATGTAATTATTTTTGTTAATTTTATTTTGGTTTGTAATGTCCACTGGTTTTTCACTCTAGCCCTTTATGTATGAAATATATTAAACAAATATTCTTAGCTCCATTTATTGTAAATATTTTATTTCATATATTTCCAATCGCATTTGTATCCATTTTATCTCTTTATCTATGAATATTATTCGATTAGTTTCAACAATGATTTGTAGAATAGGCGTAGAAAGCATTGCTTGATCGAAGTAGTACGATTCGATATGACGTTCGAACGAAATGAGAACTTGAAATAAATCTAGTTTATTTTACTAATTAAATCCTTTTTATTCAAATGATCCAATGCGTTTTTATGTGTTAGTTTATTTTACGCAAATGTCGACTTTCCTTTTATATTCGATTGCCGTTTTTAAAATCAATAAAGAGGAAATATTCTTTTACAGATAAAAAATAGGCGAGATAGCTTTTCCGATGGAGGATTTTTAATCTTGAGATTTATTTTCAAGTTAAATAATTTTCTCTAATAAATAATTCAAAGCAAATTAATTAACTTTAATAAATGGATCATATTTTAATTATCGATGTGAAATCATGATTTCCGCCATCACGACAACGTGTAAGCGATTAAGTACCAATTTTTGGGCGTTGTGGGGTGCTTATCCTTCCTCACGCATAATCGACGCTCGGACCCATTAAATTGAATATTTGATAACTCAGACCAATTTTTGTCTAAAAAATGATTTTTCTTAAAATTGTTTTAAAATATGTTTTTAGGTATTCAACCTACTTTACCTAAAGGTCGATGGAGCTCTTATCCAACTCCCATCCAAATTAATTCAAAATCGCCAATTTTTCAAAATAAAGTCATAATTATTTTTTTCAACTTAATTGTTTAAAAAAATGGTTACGACAATGTAGATATATAATATGTATGAATGTACATGCGTACATACATATGATCTTGCATGTGAACGATAAGGGCTGGTGAATAGGAAAATGAGTTCGTATTAGGAATGTTTGTTGTTTTAAACATATTTATTAAACTAGTTTTTAAATTTCAATTCTCAAATTAACTAAAATTGGAATACATTATATTAGTTGCATAAATTATAATTATTACAATAATAATTTTAAATTTCAAATCAATTAAATCTTTCTATAAGATCATCATTTATAGCTAGATTATTACGTCAACACAGGAAATCATTATGTCAACACTATTAATTTTTATGTCACCAATGTCAACCAAAAGACAAAAATCTCTTTACAACATCATCATTTATAGGTATTTTGTTATGTTAACACAATAAATTATTATGTCAGTATTATTAATTTTAGTACATTGATTTATTAAACATTGATAAGGTATAAATTTCTTTTTAAGAAAAACAAACTCACCATGAATTGTAAGGGAATATGAAAAGGCGACCCACTTGCATGACAACAATAAAATATAACTAGAGAACAAATATCATGCCATGCACAAGGAAGAATATATAAGGGAAAATCAAACACACGAAATTGACTCTATCTTCCAATAAATAATAGTTTCATTAAAATGGTTAGATTTTTTGTACTTAATATATAATAATAATTACTATATATTGTTTACTATCCTAATAAAAGGTTTGTTGAATTTGAATTATCAAATAAAAGCTAGGTCAAATATGTACAGATACTTACGTAAAAACTTCCTCTAAATCTTGTCTGGTATTTTTGAAAGATTAAAATTATGATATTCAAGAATTTCATGATATCTTGAAAAATAGATTAAGGGTGAATGAATTCTTTATACTTTTGAATAAATTCAACTAAGCCTCAGACGAAATTATATTGTATTAAGATCTTATACTTTTAAATTTTTATCAATTCATTATTTTAATCAACATTGGTCACTAAATTAAATAGATTTTTAATCAATTAGTGTATATGTTATATCAAGTTGTTGTCAAGTGGTATTTTCAGAAGCTTGTTATTTTTTAATAATTTATGAGAATTATTTTAAAATTTTAATAACTTTCTTTAGTTTTTTCTTTGAAAATCTATAAATTCTATATAATAGACTTGTAACGGGCAACGTGCTAATAATATCTCGGGAAAATTATTAAATTTAATGATCAAAATATTTAATTAATTCAATATTTTTATTTAAGGGATTCATTAGTTTCATTTTAATTGATTTCATATAAGGATTTAACTGATTTTTAAAAGTTAGAGATTTCATACACTTTCAAACAAAAAAAAAACATAACTTTTAAGAATTTAAACATGAAAGCATTTAATATTTAATTCAATTAATCACATAAGAATATTAAAAATAATAATGCAAGCATCCATAATCGTATTGATACCATAATGATATAATACGGTTGGAATTAAAGTATTTAGACCAAAAACACAAATATTCAAAAGAAAATCTTTGACCTAAAGATCTGATAGGTAGCAAGACCTGTCAGACACAAGACCCTCCAACAATATTCATACATATGGCTTCTATTAATACCATGTAATGTTTAACATTCATATGCAACGTGCAACTGTCTTAAATATATAAAAAAAAGATAAATTACACGTTTAGTATTTAAATTATTAATTTTAATATATTTTAATACTTAAGCTTTTAATTTTTTAAAATTATATCTAACTTTAATTTTTTATTTTATTTTAGTACATTATATATATATATACATGGATCATTCGATTTTAAAGATTAAGGGATAGTTGTTATCTTTATAAATTTTGAGTTTAAACACGTCAATCAGAGAAATGATTGAGTGTTAATTGATAAATGATTGAGAATTTTTTAAATAAATAATAACTTATAATTAATACAGACTAATCAAATACGTGCACGCGTCGATTATAGGTATCATCAAGCATCAAGCAACAGGAGGAGTTGAAACAACGGGGATTAAGTCGGGAAGCTTTGCTGTCATGCTCGTGGCTGGACCCAGAAGGTAAAAGGAAAAAGAAAAAAAAATCGTATGACCAAACGGTCCCACTGACAACTGCAACTTGCTTGGTGTTTTGGCTCTGTCTAGGATGGTGTCTTACAGACACAGTTCCATAATTTGGATAGGTGAATTTGTTTTTACTTTGGAATTTAAAATTAATTTAAAGGGTAAACTACTCATTTGACCACTTAACTATTTAATACTTTTACATTTACCATTAATCTTTCAATTTTATCAATTACACTACTTAATTATTTAATTATTTCAATCAAGTCACTAATCGTTAACTGTTGATTGAAATGATGATGTGGCCATTAAAAACCATACTCATTTGACCACTTAACTATTTAATTATTTCAATTAAGTCACATAACTATAATTATGTCAATTTCTTTTAACTTTCACATCATCATTTCCATCGACAATTAACTGTTAGTCTTGATTGAAACATTTAAATAGTTAAGTTATTTGATTGACAAAATTAAAAGATCAATAATAAAAGTATAATGACTAAATAGTTAAGTGATAGTAGTTTACCCTAATTTAAATTACCGAATATATATATGCATATTAAATTGTTACCTGTGATCTGGCATTCTGTGGTAAAATTTGGTAGTGCTCTGCAAAGAATCAATCTTGGTTTCGCATACGTATCTGCAATATCGGATCTTTGAACGATGATCTAGTTCAGTAACAATAGCAACCAAGTTGTTTTTCAGAATTTGGGTCCCACTCCAAGTTGGTACCTAAAGATTGTCCCACTCCAAGTTGGCACCAAAAGATTTGGATACTCTGTTTATCGTCCCTTTATTACCTCAATCAATCATGCTGCCGTACTCCATCAATACATGGGTGCTTGATTTTCCTGCAGAATCTGATGAGTTCCATATTTATTCAGATTTTTAGCTTCTTTCCTGAGTTTTTTCCTGTCATTGTACTTGCATTTCGTTCTTTTGTGACCATTGCCAAGTCATTGTTCATCACAAGCCGATCATTGTTGAGGCTTTTCTCGATTATCTGTCCAAATTTTCAATAAAAGATACTCTTTTAAAATGTATGTGAACAAAGCTGGGGACTTTTTTCTGTTCTTCTTCCAAATTTTCTCCTTTATTTTTTTCTTTTTAAATTACTCAATGTGAACTATCTCTAGCCACTTACTCTTATACTCTCTCTCTCTCTCTCTCTCTCTCTCTCTCTATATATATATATATATATATATATATATATATGAGAATGATTTCTACTGTTTCACTCATGAACCTTGAATCCAACAGGGAATATCTGCTTTTCTGATAGCATGTATATATTTTATATGCAAATGTTTGTGTGTGATAGAAGACGCAAGCTCTGACAATGCTGTCATTTTTGGCCTCATACAAAACAAACAAATCTAATCTGATTCGAAGGAGTATATATGTGTTAGGATATGACCCAACAAATATTCTCATTACAAGGACTGTCCTAAAAACTAATTCCCGATACTGTTCCTTTCCCAAGAAATAAATGATATAATATTTTACACATGTTACATGACAAATAAATAATAGCAGTGCTAGAAGTAAAGCATCATATTCCCTTTGTGGGATAATATGGATGAGGAGGAACCCTTAATTCTTGACATATAGCTGAAGCATATGACGTGTGTGCGCAAAAAATCAAATGAAATCAATTTCAAAAGATTCTTCAATGTGATTGCAAGTCGCCATGGATGGGACAGGAAGAAATATAATCAAATTCCACAATGAAGACAGATTTAATGTTGAAAATGTGAGTCGTTTGTATGCTCATTGCTTTTACACAATCGTGTTATTGTAGCATATCTAAAATTATTAAAAAAATATTTGAAATATGAATGTAAAATATGTTTATATTAGCATTAAGTAGTAAAATGTGGTCAGAAAAATTATTAGACGATGATTAACGACAGTGTTAACAAACGATATTCTTTTAATGTTTAATTGTTTAGATTCTAAAATATTTAAGTGATTATTTTATTACGATCTAATTCTGTAAATAATTAAAACATATTTTTTTTTAAAAATAAAGGATGAAAATAAAAAAAGAAGTAAACAAAAATGGCCTCTAATATAATTACTCTAAAACTAATCTTATGGTCGGTCAAAAAGTGAGGAAATAAAACAAAAATTTAGAACAATCAGATTTGAAATTTTAGGCACACATTATTGCATGAAGAAATTGTAAGCTCCACATTACATCAATCATGAGAAAGATAGAGGGTAACAACTAGATCAGAGTAAATTCATTGTTGTCGTATATTTTATCATGTTATGAGAATGTATAAAATACTTTATATAAATTTAGAAGGTCTAAAACTTTGGTTCTACAATCTTACGCTTTGGTGTCTTAAAGGTTGAGAAAGCCCGACAACAATAAGCTCTTAACGCCCAGACTAAACCTTATCTGGGCCTAAGCCTCAGAAAATCCCAAAAACGCCCCAGGCTGGAGAACACAAATATTATCATACGCCATGCTGTACCCAATCCCACGTTACATTATAGGGTAAACTTATCCGTTTAATTTCTAAATTATCAGTTTTAATCTGTTTTAGTATCTAAACTTTTAATTTTTTCAAGATCACACCGAGAGTTTAGTTTTCATTTCATTTCAATGTCTTGCCGTTAAAAACTTAACGCGTTTAATACCTAAGCTATTAGTTTTAGGTCGTTTTAGCATCTAAATTTTTAACTTTTTCAAAACTTAATGTTAAAATTTGAACGGAAGTACTAAAATGAAACAAAACTAAAGTTTTTAACTGTTGAATATTAAAATGAAATAAAAATTAATTTTTATGTATAGTTTAAAAAATTAAAAGTTTATTGATAATTTAAACGTAATTTACCCTGCATTATCTAGCGAATACAGTGGGATTTTCTTAGTCTCGTATAAAACTAAATAATTTGTCATTGATACTCGCTAATTATCTTCCACTCTCTTGGATCAAAGTTTCATAATCCGAAGCGAAGAGGCAAAGATCGATGGTAAATCAATCTCAATTGAGTTCAGAGCATTTGTACTTTTGTAGGGTTATACGTTTCTATGAATTTGATTGAATGATTTTGTTTCAGGCTTCTGCTGCAAAAGCATTAAGTAGTCCAGTGCCAATTGAAGGGTACCCAACCCTAGCCGTCGTACTGCTCTCCATTGGTCTTGTTGTTACCGCTTCCTTCTTCATGTAAATATCTCTTCCACTAAATTTTCTATTTTTTAAACTGTTCTTATTGGATTCGTTTTTGTAGGCAATTGTGAAATTCATAGTTATTGATTGGTTATACAATTGGGAAAAATTAGCATAATGCGAACTTGATTTTCGATCTAAAATGTACTTTCTATAGATTTGGAAAGAATTTCTTTTGTTAGCTAATTTGGTTCAGTGCTGAATACAAGTGCGAATTTCAATTCCTCTCTCAACAACAAAATTTCTGTTTTTTTTTTAATTTAACCGCTCATCTTTGTGATTTGTTCCACTTGATTCGTTCAGTGCAACTCTTCTCAAATCCTTTTTTCTATCAATTCCTTTTAACCCCTTTATATTATCAACAATATTTGTATATTCGATTTGACTCGACTCCGATTTCATAAACTTAAATTGAAATCATACTTGTAACTCTACCAACCTGAATTTTTTCTGCTCTACTCGACCGAATTCTCATCTCTACTTAATTTCATGGCCTAAGACATGAAACAGATTTTAAGAAGAGAGTGATCAAGTTTCTGCACGAGTTATATTGTTCATGTTTAGTTGATTTTGCTATTTTAGCACTTTTCTGATTTCGTGCGATGGGTGCATCTTTAACCAAGAGTTTTCTTGTCGTTGAACTGTACTTATGATACCTTTAAATCTACTTGCGTTTTGTTTTGCTTTAGAAATTACATTGAATTTCTTCACATACATTGAATCCCTCATCTCATAGCTACAACTTTGAAGCCTCCCTTCATATCAATTTCCGAACTTGTTTTAACTTCATTTGTGTTTATGAGAAATCTGCAATTTTGCTCTATGGATTTGGAAAATTTTATAGAGAAAATTTCCCAAACACATGCAGCTTTGAAGCAACTTGTACGAAGCAAAATCGATGTGTTGTCAAGGAGCTTATCACTGGAGGAGTGGCAGCATTTTTCCTGGTATAACTTTTAGTAATTGCTTTGTCCGGATTTCTCGTTCATCATTTACGTAGCTTTTTGTTCATTGCTTGATTCTCGACATCCTGGCAGGGATTTGGGTCGTTGTTTTTGCTGCTGTCAGCCGGTGTTTATATCTGATTTTCATCATGTTGTTGAACCATTTCACAAAGTTTTGCTTAGAAAGATTGGTGTCTGATTTTCATGCCTTTTTGTTGTTTATCTGACCAGGATAGTTTCTTTAATAAAATTTTGATATCACTCCAGTGACCTTATCAATACATGCTTGAATTTGTCTCTCTTTATTGAATCTGATTGTTTAACATTTTGGAATATAGAAAAAAAAATTAAATAAATTCAGATATACATATAAATCTCTAATCTACAAAAGTAAAACAGATTCCAAACGCAATTCAAATGTCGAAATATATTATCCAAAAAAAATTAGATTCTTTTAACGAAGATTTAATAGTTACAAGAATGGATAAGAAAAATGTGCGATGGAGCAGCCAAAATCATTTACAATTTTTATATAAAAAGTTGAAGATTAACTAATCAAATTAAAAACAGGACTGCAATAACAGTTAATGCAAAATCTGAAAAAATAAAGACAAAGGGAAAAGAAAATAAAAGAGAAGGGAAATTCGTTGATTGTTAATTAGTTTAGGGTTAGTGTCATCACTACTGCTAAAAATATTAAAAGATAAACAAAGGTAGACACTCATTTTTATCCTGGCCTTATTTAGTATATATATTAATATAGTATAGTTTTTGAAAATATTTTTTAAAAAAATATAATATATAGTTTTTGAAAACAGTTTTTGAAAACATATAATATAAACTCTTTAAAAAATCGGTTTATGAAAATATATATATATAGTTTTGAAAACAATTTTTGAAAAAATATATTATATAGTTTTGAAAACGATTTTTGAAAATATATATATTATATAGTTTTGAAAACGATTTTTGAAAATATATATTATATAGTTTTGAAAACAATTTTTGAAAATATATTATATAGTTTTGAAAAATAATTTGTGAAAACATATATATATATATATATATATATATATATATATATATATATATTATAGTTTCGAAAATAATTTTGAAAATATATAATATATAGTTTTTAAGATCGGTTTTGAAAATATATAATTTTTTATATAGTTAGTTATTTATATTATTTATTTATTTTATTGTTTATTTTCGTTTTTAGGTCCAAATTAGAGTCCAATCTAGCAAGGAAGTCAAACCGGGCCTGACCCAACCCAATCAAATTAGGGTTTCCACACAATGTGACAAGGGCGCCGCAAGGGGGTCATCAACGAGCGTGTGAGACTATGCGCCGGTGCTAAATCGACCATTTTGGCGCCAAACAGAACATCCCCTATTTTCCAGCATGAATCACAAACAACAAACAACCCAGAAAATAGGGGATAAGGACTGCACCATCCCACTATAGTCGAAAACAACCCTGTCGAATGGGATATATATACGATGGGGAGTAAGCACACAAGAAGACAAAAAAAAAGCAACTACATCGGGAAAAAAAACTACAAAGTGCATCGTGCACAAAGCAAAAAAAACATCCATAGCAAGGGAAAAATCGAACAAAAACAAAGCACCAAGTAGACAAAACCAAGCAAAAAAAAAATATTCGACTATTTTCAAAGAAATTTCATAAAAGTAAAGAGCTTTCGTCGGAGGTCGCATCGAAAAACGAAGAGTCACGTCGAAAAATGTATATTTCGAGGCTTTAAACTTAGATCTAAAATCATAGGGTCATTTTTAGGACGAATGAGCTTTGATTTCATGTTTATCGAAAATGGGAGAGCATTTAGGTGTTGTTAAATTTTTTCGGCCACCGCCAACAGAGCGACGACGGTTTTGGTCACCGGCGAGGTGGTTGGCTATTGGTCGATAGGACTTGTGGAAAAGAGGGTTGAGAGATTTTTTGTGAATGAAGGAGTGCTTTTTTTTGAATGGGCTAAAAATGATTTTTTCTCTAATTTTTCGGCTATTTATAGGGAGGGTCACATTGTAATTATGATATTTTTAAATTATTTCTGCAGTCCCTGTACTTTTGATGCGTAATTCATTTTATTCACCTATTGCAATTTTGTCTCTGAATTTTCAATTAATTCAATTTAATCCTTCATTATATTTATTATATTTCACAATTTAGTCCCCCTAACCTTTTTTTGGTAGCTCATTTTCAAGTATTAATTAGATCCATAAATTTCAATTTAATTCAATTTGATCCTTTAATTTTTATCTATTTATGTATTTATTTATTTTTCTGTTTTTGTATATTTATTAACATTTTTCCCTTAACATTTTTTTCTTTCAAAATTTAACGTCTTTTTTTTTATTCATTTTTATTTTAATATTTCTCAATTTTATTTTATTTTTTATTTTATTTTTTATATTTATATATTTCACAATTTACTATTTCTTTTGACTTTTTAGGGACAACTTTAATCAATCAAAGGTAAGTAATTTGAATCAAAACTTTAAATTTTAATTTAATTTTCAATTTTCACAATTAAGACAATCGAGAAATTAAAATGGTACCGAAATGGCAGTACAAGGGTGTTAATCCTTCCTTGATTGTAACCGACTCTCGAATCCGACATATTTATGGTAAAACACATATCAAGTAAGATGGTGCCCGATCAACCTAAATATTTTTTAAAAATGATCGATGGTGGCTCTAACGTGTTTTATTTAAGTCGAAGCCTAATTCTGGGCTCACCCGAAGGACGGTTGTGACAGCTTGGCGACTCTGCTGGGGACAGGTAAGTGAGTCAGGCTAGAATTAATTTCAGGTTGTCATTTTATGCGAAAATAACAAGTTTAAATTTTAATTTATTTATTCAATTCGTATTGTTTATCTTTGATTATTTTTCAAATAAATAGTTGTACTGATATTTTTTTCAATGATTTCAGATTTTAAAAAAAAATCATCTCTATCTTTATACCCGAGCTCCGAACCCTTTTTAAGTGGAGGTGAAAGCGACGCCTTCGTGTGAAGTTATTCTTCGTATAGGCCTAACAAGTAACCTTTGGGATTCATATACCTTGTGTCTTCGTGTGAATTTATTCTCTGTATAGACATAAGGGAATGTATCCTCTCGAGTTTAACTTGGTCCACATAGGCTTGTAATGGGCTTATGACTTAGGGACTGGCAAGCCCAAGGGGGTACCAGCAAGGAGAACTCGGGTACCTTCTTTAAGAACCTAAACCGGGAGACTACAGGGAATTAGAGCCCACCCCGAAACATCATTTCAAAACTTAAGATGCTTGGATTATTTCCTATTTTACTTTCTGTTCAAAGCATGCGAACTAGAAAATATGCGGTTAGGATTTGCCTAAAATTAGCATACGAGGTAGAAAGCATGTATGGGTAAGAATAAAAGCATGGTGGGTAGATATCATGTGGGGTAGGACTTTTTATTTTCATTATTTTTTTGATTATTATCCTTACCTCGCTAACATTTTCCTTTCATTTTTGTTCTCTTTCGTTTTATTTTTTATCATTTACATCATTCAAAAGAGGTGTTGATCCACAAGAACGTGTTCGTTAAACATAAATAATTTGCATTAATGGAAAAAGGGGTTGTAATGAAAGAGGTTAAAAACGTTGAGTTTCGGCTATGGTCAGAAAAGTCTCAAGAGGATCGAGTAGATATATTAGAAAAAGAACAAAAGGAAGTCTGTTGAGAAAGAGGTATCAAGAAAAGATCCTCTGAATACTGGAAAAGTGAAGACTGAAGGACAAGATAAAAAAGAGACCCTCAAAGAACAACCAATGGCTGCTCAAATACGCTTATTAGACAGCTAGCACCAAAACAAAAGTCTAAAGACCAAGGTAGCTGATCTTGAGAAGTCTCTTAAAAAATAGCAAGAACGGGATGGCAAAACCATAGCTGAGTTGGAGGCCATTGTGGACGGGTTCAGGAAACAAGGAAGTGAGCTTCAGATAATTCCCTTAGATGGAGGTTTCCAATGGCATTTTCATTGGGAGCAGACTCAGCAGAGAGTGGAAGCCAGAGATGCATTCATTTGAGACTTCTTGGAACAAGTACAAAAAGTAGCTCGATACTTACACGGTTTAGCCAGAGAAGCTGGAGTAGTTCGACAGGGTATTCAACCGATGACAGACAAAGGCAGAAGACTATTCAACCTGTTAGAAGTTGTTCAGGGTTTATAAGACTTAGTCAGAATATACCTTTAGGGGGTTTTGTCTCTTAAGAAATAACACTTTTGTCCCAATAAAGATTATTTATAATAACAGACGTGTTTTTGGATCAATGCCCTGAACATTTCATGCATTATGCATTTATACATATTTTTTCATTTGTTATTTTTCTTTATTTCTTTACATTCACATTAACTAACAGAAAATGTCTCATAAAAAAAGGAACAAACACTGGACATACCACCCCAAGCATTTGACACACCTCATCCACATAACACTCGTTCAAAAAAGAAGAAGATAGAAGAAGAAATTGTTCAACTCGAAGAGAACATGTTGAGGTTACAAAGAGAGTTGGAAGAAAAAATAAGCCATAATAATCAAAGAACTCTAGAAACAATTACTAAGAACCAATAGTCTTTGGTCGATCAAATCGTTGCCAAGTTATCTGGCCTAAATCAGGCAAGTGCACCTGGGGTAGGGACATCTGAAGGGGTAACTATGCCACATACCCCGCAAGTGAATATTTCACCTGGAATCCTACCAGGACTTTAAGGGGACTCATCCGCAGCAAAAGTAAATGCCTCGTCTGCAATAAAAATACAGACCTTTGTATCTAACCCTGAGAATAATCTGGATGATTACCATATCCCAGATTTTAATGAAGAAAACAAGGCAAAGAAAATGGAAGAAAAGATCAAGCTATTGGAAGACCAAATGAAGGTGGTTAAGGGGGACCATTATTATTATGGAGTCGATGAGCTTAGTCTCGGATTTGGTGCTTCCACCAAAATTCAAAGTCACCGAGTTTGAGAAATTCGATGGAAACAGTTGCCCTTCAGCTCACATCGCCATGTTATGTTGAAAGATGACATGATATGTAGGAAATGATCAACTCCTGATTCATTGCTTCCAGGAGAGTCTGTCTGGTTCAGCCATCTGGTGGTACAACCAGCTAAACCGATCTCATATTAAGACTTGGAAGGATTTAGCCAA